AGGGAGGAAGAAGAAGAAGAGATAAGGGAAGGTGGAGTGGAACACGCCTGGCACAACAGTGAGATCCTACAAGCCTCTGTAGATGGTCCAGGTAAGTGTCTGAAACAACACGGCTGCTTCCTATGCCGTTTTCAACCAATCCGGTCCACCTAGCGGACAGTCTACAGCCGAAGAGTTAAAATATTTCTTCTTACCGCTCTTGCAGACTACAGATACCAAGGCTGGTGACGGATGATGTAGTGATGGTAATGTTATCACATTACAGGACTTACATTTTAGGAAGAGATGCTATTTCAGTTTTAATGCAAGTTGAATATAAACTACATTTTCAACACATAACGTGAAGTATTTGTACAACGTTTACAATGTGCAAATTACATAACATGAGCAAGATCTATACTTTCCTGTCAGAAAATGGAAGCAAATGTAAATATATATACATGTTTTGTGTGAAAATCATGTAACATTTCAAACCAAATAACTGTCAGCTTAGTGCAGTTTCAGCATCTGTCTGACACCTCCTATTGTAACTCACCCATCCGATCATTCCCTTTTGTTAAGTGTGAATGTGATTTCACACTTTTACCTGGTCAGGTAGCTTTTATTATTATTATTGTTTAACAGCTAAGTACTTGATAATGATTCCTGCTGTTTGGTGGGAATCCCAAGGGAAGTAAATATAGTTCAAGGCCAACTATAATGAAAATAAGATAAATTATATTCAAAATAAAACTTAGATTCCACTGTGCAAATGGAAATGCCTTAGCCTAAAATTCAGTTATCGCGGGTCATCACTAGCAAAATCCTTAGCAAAATATAAGGAATCTTACTCTCACAAACTCTCTCTGCCCATCTGGTAATGTGGCTTGTAATAATTTTTTCAAAGTCTGCTTTAATATAGATTTGTACCTCCTTAATTCTACTTCCGGGTACCAGTGATGGCTATCATTATTTATCCCTCCTTCTTTTGCATGACAGCATAAATAAAAGCAGCATTTTCGTAAGTAGGCAAACTGGGTAGGAAGGAGTCTATCTATATGTTACTATGATGTCTCAGACTTCCAAACATTGAACATAAGAGAGTAATTGTTTGGTATAGTGGAAGGAGGATAATAAAAGCACTTCCACTGCTAAAGAAAATTAAACATAAAAAAAGAAACAGAAAAAAGACCGATGGCAGTTTGAGTGTAGTGTATTTGTTTTTCGTTTTCCTAAGATACTGTGCCAAGTTTTGTACTCTTTCTGTTTCCAATTTTGCTTTCGGTGAAGGTTTCTCGAATCTCAGCAATCCCACACATAAACATTTATCGTTATATCCATTAAGACTTAAGGTTTTAGATTTTCAACTATGAGGGAGAACTCAGCCAAAGATGCTTGAAAGATAAATACGTTTAATTAGGGGCAGAGGATGATCATTAAAGGAAGTCTGACTGCTGCAGAAGTCATTAACAATCTTAAATGAAATTTTTATTTTTATGATAGCCATTTACATGTATAATAAGAGCCAATGATTCTTGGGAGCAGTGTGACAGAAACAGAGTGTGGCGAGAACTCATGTAAGACATACTATTTAAATGAGCTGGTGTTAGCTATTCATATTTGTTAATGAACTAGATATGCAGGGCTATAAGAATGAATGTTCTGATGCTTTAAATTTTAATATCTAGAAATCAAGGGTAAGGACCAATTACTAGAATTTTCACCCTTAAAGGAATAATTAATAACGATATAACAAATGTACAGCCCCAAACTTTTTTAAAAAGTTTAATTTTTAAAAATTAAGATCAATAGTTGAAAATAGCCAAAGCAGCAATGTCGAGCTGCGGTAGTTTGTGATCATGGCAGCTTTCTGTGTTGGTCATGGGTCATAATTCTAAACATTTTAATACACAATAATTCATACGAATGCATTGCAGACCCTGTTATCACCTGTAGTTAATGGTGCCTGTGATACAAATGAACAGGCCATTCTTTGCTCTTACCTTTATGGTAAATAAACTAGCATTCTGGAGTCACAATAATTAAATAAAATGTAAATCCCTAATCTCATTTGGCTATTTCAACCAAGAAAGTTACCCGGCTATTACCTGTCTAGTTCTAATGATTAGTAATGATTTATTGTTCTTTTTTATTATTGTTCTAAAAGTGCTCTGATGTGGTGCCTTGATGTCTAATGAAAAGAAATTGGTCTTAAAAAGCTACTCATTGTTTATCCTGACTCTCAGATAACACATTTTTCTTCTGATAAAATATTTTTCTTATTTATTGTTCAAAACATACCGTATAGACAATAATTCTAATTCTGGTGCTGTTTTATTTAGTAGTGTTTTATCCCCGGTGCCTGGCTGTCTACAATCTACCTCAGCACATAGCTTTACTCTGAGATAAGCCCTCTCCTTTGCTCTTTCTCCATGCTTTCAGTAGTTTGTCTGCAGGATGCAGGTCTGGAACTGAAGAGGGCCGTGGAGTCCTTACTGTGCCTTTCCGGTTCCAGCACAATCAAAGTTTTGTGTTTGGAATTGTCCTTGACATTCTTTCGTCCCACAATGGGGTGGACACAGTGTGCTGGAAACCATGACATCATTATCATTGACACAGACTTAAATAAATCACCTGCATCTTGGCTTCTTTTTGCTTATTCAGTGATTCTTCATCTCACGGAAGAAAATGTTCTTTACTTTTACAAACCTTCATCCCAAGGGTGACTGGAAAATGCAAACTTCTACAAGTGTTTCAAAAATAAATACACTATGTGGTTTTAGACACAGAATGCTGAGTCAGAGGTGCCTTAGAAAATGTTTAAGGTTAGACACGAGGCAGAAGGACAGCCAGAATTGCCATTAACTCATAGGAGCAACTCGTAAACTATGCATCATTACGTCCTCCTGAATATGAATTCACTCAAAACCTATTTAAATAGGCTTGTGTGTAATATTTAAAATACATACCTGAAAATGCTTAGTGTTTCATTTTAATAAGTTGAGCTTGATGTTCCCCGAAGAGAAAGGTTGAAGCTAAGCAAATTGGAGCAAAACACATTGTAGGTAAAAGTGATACTATCGAATCTGATGTCCCTGAAAGATTTCAGTTGCACAATCTTTAGTAAAAAATAAAAAGGGGTTATAGCTAAATAATGCTGCAGCACGCAATGTCCACAAAATGCCGACTACACACTTTTGCACCCAGCATTTATTAATTTGGGAAGCAACCACCTACAGTAACTTCTCTTTACTTTTTCATAAGAAAATGACGATGAGGAAGGAAGTGCAGCAGAAATCTTGAACATTACCACTATTATGCAAAAAAAAAAAAGTGCTGTTAACTGTTTTCCCCTCAGTGGCTTGATGTGCTCTCAGATGGAAAACTTATGATTCTTGTGACTCTTGGCTACCAGAAATCACATGAGAAGAGCAAGGAAGAAAGACACAAAAGCTATATTTATATCTAGTAGTGAACTTCTCAGAAATACCTTAATTCAATTTCTTTCAGAGACTGATAAAAATGTCAAATGAGGGAGCCTTTCAAACAATCAATTATTACAATCGACAATGTACTATTACTATACATTGAAGTTTTGAATATTTTATGCAAAATGCCCCTGTGAAAATATTCCCTAAATAAAGAAGTCCAGGGTCAGGGATGAATTTTAAATGGTTGTACACTCTAAATAAGTATCATTCAAATCATCTGTTTCAGTAGTGGCATGAAATTAATATCTATATATACTTTTCAGTTCTACCTTAAGAGGACCATGGTATCTCAGCTCTGGTCCCACAGACAGACATAGTGAAAGACGCTGCTTGTAAAATATGTTTTAATTTAGCTGTAATGTTTTCTAGAATCTTCTATCAAAGAAGTCCAGGATGTGATAAGAAAAGAACAACAGGACTAATTTGTGGATTTACAGAGTCCTGTTTATAGCTTTACTTATTTGAAATAAAATCATTATCAAAGAGAGATAGTCATCCTGGGTCATGTTTAGTTCTTTTTAGTGTTGTCATTGTAAAACTTCCCTTTTTAAAAGGTCTTGTTTAATTCACTTAAAAGATTTTTAGTGGGCAGTTGTCCTGCTTTTCCTTCACACTATAATTTAGTGGGCAGGGAATTTCAAGTTCTCTATTTTTCAAGCTCTCTCTCTCTTGTTTGAAAATATTACAAATTTTAAAGTGGCTTTTAATTTTTTATGAATCTTCAGCTTCAGTGTTAGATATTTTCATCTTTATCAGAACATTGAGCTGTTGTATCTATATATTTTTCCTTGGAAAGTGACTATGATTGTGGAGGCAAAAATGCAAAGAAACAAAAGGTATTCATGAGAGGTTGGAAAAGGAATAAAAAAGCTGTGCTTTAGACTTTTATATGAAACAGTTAAACATGTATTTTTGATATTTCTGGAATGTTGGTTCTATAAGTTAGGCATTCTAAGTTTTGATATGTGGAATTAGGGCTTAAAAACCATGTGTTTACCTAGATTAGCACCATTATAGTTATCCCAAGGAGAAAGAAAAGAATGAAAATAAAATGAGAGACTCTGACTTGTCACTAAGCACCCAGAGTTACCAGAGGTATAGTAGCTAGCGTGCCTCTTCATAAGTACAAATACTTAGTTGCTTTGGACTCTTATTGAAAAAATAATATCTTGCCCCTGTTTGTCACTAGAACTGCCACCAGAAGAAAAGCCCTTCATTTGCTCCAAATAAGCACCTCTGTTTTTCACAGCTTGCAGTAATGCTTAAAGTAAATAAGTTCTTGTGCAGCTAGCACTATTGGATTCATTCAATTGCCTGAACAAAGCTATTGTTTAGAGGTTTACAACAAGCCTTTTCTCTGTTTCCTTAAAAGAATCTTTCTTGTTCCTGTGCTTGGCATGCTTAGTATAGTAAGCCTTTCTACAATTTTCAAATGCTAAAGATAATTTTCCCCCACAGAAGAAATGAAGGGAGACTATGTCACTATGGGGCCGGAAGCCGCCATCCAGACCACAGTTAACAATGGTACAGGTAAGATATCTTTACCATACTAAGACCGGGTCTGTCCTGTGTCATATGGATTTATTGAATGAGGGAAAGAAACACTGACCCGTGTTTTTATATCTCCATGACTTAACAAGTACGTCAGACATCACATGTCTCTAGTTTTGCTCCAAATCCAAATTTTCTACATTTTGGTACTTAATAAGCAAATATGTCTTTCATTCTTATAGCCTAATTTTGCCTCTGAAGCTCAAGAATGTTGAACTGCATAAGTGTATCTTTTTATAGCATGAACTTATTGGATTTCTAGTAGTAATTTTTACTTTAAAAGACTACAAGAACAGTCTTTAGATTAGGATTTGGTATGCCTCTTCCAGCCCTCACCTGACTTCAGTCATTGAACATTCAAATGATGTGTTGCACTGTAGATTGTAAAACGTTTTTTTCAGAAAACCGAATTTCCATGAACATTCCATGCAAAAATTAATCATCTACATTATTTTTAATTCTTTCTTCAGTTTTAGTTCTCTGCATCTGTTAGCTCCTCTCAGCAATATTTTCTGGGTAAATGTTTTAGGAGAAGTTGATGCTTTTATTTATTTTTAATAAAATGAAAAAAAAATTACAGTGGGAAAGCATTAAGCAATGTTTGTTTTACTCTACCACTGCTACAGAATAGAGGTTAAGGACGATTGTCACATTCCATCTTCCCCCAAAATTAAATGGCAACTTCTCTCACATCCCCATGTCCCCCACAGAAATTTACACTGACTCACTATGTTTTTCTCTTTGTCTGGATGAGACTAATTATTTTCAGTGTTTCAAGCAGTCCTCCACATTATTACAAATATCAGCATAGTGCCCAGTATAAAATTATCTTTTAAAGTGAAAACAAAAAAAAATTCAAATAAGTATTTCCACTCTACTCACCAATAAAAACAAGCTGGCTGTTTTATGAAGTTTCAGAAATGTAAATAATTAAGATGATATTCATATTTCCCTTATGTTGATACACATCATAATAAACTGCTCACGCTGTGCTTCTATTTAAATGCCCTCATTAATAACTTAAAAGGCATTAATTCACATTCTTGGATATAAGAGAAAGAATGAAAAACTATTGTTATTTTTTATTCATTTGAATAATATTAATTTAAGGTACAAAATGAAACCATACATTATGTCCTCATATAAGAAGTATAGAATTATAATTAACTTCTAACTGTAGATGTGGCAATAACTGGATCATGACCTTGGACAAGTCGTTCACCCTCTTCGGAACTCAGTTTCCACACTTTTCACATGAATACATTGAGCCAGTTGCTTGCTAGGAATACTTCTAGTTTAAATATTCTGTGTCACTTGGGGTACTCTCACCATGTGAAAATGAAAATAAGATCAAATAATTTGTATAAAATATAGTAATAAAAAGATACTGTGAATTAAATAATTTCTCTAACGTCCTAACTCATGAAGTTAGAAATGATCTTGTGTTTCTTTTAAATAAAAATGTAAAATTTCAGCTAAGCTTCTAGCGTAAATAAAAACTGATTTTTACTACCATAATAGGCATTTAAATGTCACAAAAGAGGATTTATTCCACAAAATGAGCATTTACTAGCTATTTTATATACATAAAGTCTATAGTAAGGTTAATAAAAATTGTTTCTATCCAAAGGTTTAAAATCAATCTTGAACATCTTTTCTTCAGGCTTTAACATCTCTTTTTCTCCAAATACTCTTCCATGTGTGGTTAGTCAATAAATAAATCAATAAGTATTTGGTGAGTGTCTCCAATATATTTGCTCTTGGGTGCATACGTGGGGATAGGTGGACCAGGAAGATTAAGACATGGTTTTTATTTAATTTAGATGAGCCCAATACACATGAAAAAGTTATGAAAACATGTGATAAATATGCAAAAAATTGTAGGAATAACAATCATTTGAACTTCAGAAATGAGAAAGCTCTTGTTGGGTAGGTATTCCTGTGAGGTTTATAAAGGTGGTAGAATTTGAACCTGGTACATTTTCAATAGTTAAGAAGGAATGGGGAAGTCCAGCAGAAAGGGATACATGAACCAACAAGGGGAAGAAGGTATCTACTCAGAAGATAGTGAAAAGATTTGATTAAATCAAGAAGTCCTAAAGGAAACTTATGGGGAAATAAAGCTGGATATTTAAGATAAAGTCAGGTGTTGAAGAATATAAAACACCTGAAAAAGCAAAAAACAATTTTTTTAATCATATTCTTCTACTCTGATGTCTGTGGGAAAAGCTAGGCTCTAGAAAGCAACTGGAAGTCTTTATAGCTACTCAGATGGGAAGTGATAAGAATCTTGTCCTGGGTGGTGACAGAGGAGAAATTAGCAATGTGACTACTTAACAGAGTCTGGATGATGGAGGTAAAGTAGCTACAACCTTACACATTTACATGTTTAAAATATAATGATTATTGGTATTTCTAGATACATAGAAAAATTCAATTTTAAAAAGGCCTTGAACTGCCTTTGAGACATAATGAATTTCATAGAAAAGTTTTGTGAATCTTGAGGAATTAAACCCCCCTAAGTAAGAACATAAGATAGAAATTTGAGAGTCATACACATATATTCAGATAGTATTTAACATCATAGGGCTATGAAATGTTAAGACTCAAAGGATATTTATTCAAACAAATATTTGAGCCCAGGACTCCTGATGAATGGTAGAAATATCAAATTCATTCAAAGATAAAAGGATTGTGAGAAGAGAGGGAAAATGTAAATGTTTAGAAGCAAAAAGAACTCCACAAAAGTAAAAATGGTCAATTCAATTAATAGCTTCAAATAACTTGAAAGAAAACTAAGTGAATACGATAGACTTGGTAATTAGGAATTCATTGGTGACCCTTAATTTATTACCCCACTTTTTAGAGAATACATATCTCTTTTCAGCCGTAAGCTTACTGCTTCTTGTCCCTTGCATTTGTTTGAATGATAAATACAAGTGGGATTTAAGTAATACATCTTTTCTGGTAAAAATTACTTTTTAATGGGCCATCTTGTTCTTTGCTGTTAGGTCTTTCTCACCAATATCCAGCTACTGTCTGGCTTTCTTTGGCCATCCCAAGGTGGAATCATGTCTTCCTCCAATGAACCTATAAGGTTTTGATCACTCTAATACCATAGTTCCTAGGATAGCTGAGTCAAAACGGGAATAAGAGACAAACAGCATTTGGACTTCCTTTACATATTTTTAGTTTGGAATATTTTGGACACCTGGTCTGACACTCTTTATTCCAGTCTCCCAAGCTAGAAAGCCTTAGGTTTGACTGTTCTTGAGCCTTCCCATCATCAATTGTGTAGTCAGTCCACATCCTTCCTGCAACCCTTTTGTTGGTGTCCACTTCCCTTCTTACAGTCCTTAAGTACGCTTAGGACCTATAGGAAATAAACTAATATTCCCAAGCCTCTCGTTCAATGCTATTTAATTCTTACCAGCCATGCTCAGTTTTAATCTCACTCAATTCCTTGACAATATCAAAAGAATCACATCAATACAAACCATTGAATCTCTGCCCGTGCTATTTCTTCAGACCCTAACCTCCTTCCCTCTACTCATCCAAATATTTCCCATCTTTCTACATTAAGAACTAGCTCACATTTCCTTATGTGGTCATCTTTAAGGAAATCCAGCCACATCAATCTCTCTTCCTTCTCTGAAATCCCACAGTCCTAATTTGCATACTATAAATATTTGCATGTATTCTGCTTTATGTTGTTTCTACCTATTTTACCTACTTAATTTCATGAAGAGGTTTCTTCAGCTGAACAGGGATGATAAATTTTTATACTATTTCCTTCTTAGCTTTGTTGAGGTTATTAAGTAGATAACATATACATTGACCAGAAACACTGGCTTTAAAAAAAGACTATTTAGTTTGACTCAGAGTGCCAAATACAGCAGTGAGTACACATGGTAGACTTCCTGACTTGTGAAAGCACGAATGAGCAAATATTTGGTGGGAAATAAGTGGACATTAACTTTTTAAAAAGCTACAATAGGTGAAAACATTATCTGCAGTGGGTATTGAGTTAGTATCTTTAGAGTGAAACCATGATTTAAGTTCCTGGAATCAAATTGTTAAAGGCAAAGAAAAACAGCCCAGTGCATCAATATTTTCTTCTTACAACAAAGTTAGATTGATAGTGCAGCAAAATTGATTTATGACAATGTAAAGCATTGAAACCACTGATTTATATTAGACTTCCTTCATTTCGTAATTTCACCGTTTTTTAAAGAAAGAAAATAATAGTGTTCTAAAGTATAAAGAACATCATTTTACAAAGAACCCAGTGTTGTACAGATATTAATAGAATTCAAATTCAGAATGAAATTACTGGGTAAAATTTTCAAGAGTGTGTGGAAAATCCCGTTTTATAAGAAGATTAGAGAAATGGAAAAACTTAGGAGCATTACAAACATGCATTTGCCTACACAACAGAGTAACAAGGCTCTGTCTTAGGTGCATGTGATCATCAGCATTAATGCAGTTCCACGTGCATCTCAAAACCCAAATGGGCCCCTGATGTTTTCCTCATTGGATGTGAGAAGTTTATATTTATTCTGACAGGCTAGTACTGTACTTATAAGAGGCTATTAATAACCACCTGCATCTTTGCCTCCTTTGCTAGGGGCAAGAGGTGCACCTTAAATGCTAAAATTGGGCAGCACCAATTTAAATCTCAGTTCTTAATCTTATACAACACAAGAAAATTCTTATTCAATAACCAACTATATAAACTCTAAGAATAGTCATTAAACATGCCTCTAACATTCTATTAGTAATGTATAAACTATTTTACATATGAGAGACAATCGTTTTAGAAAGCTCCAGATTCTAGAATCAGGTAGTTTGCATTTGAATTTTATCTCTACCAATTATTTATAGCATGAACTTGAGTTCATACAGTAATGGATAAGCCTTCATTTCTGTAACAGTAAAGTGGAAATATGATTCTGTATGTCCAAGGCCTCATTGCAGGT